ACATAAAAATGGAAAACATGTGAAAGCAAATATAATGAAACAATACAATTGTAACATACAATAAGATAACAGATATAATGCTGCTATACAACAACAAGAAACTTACCAAGGGTGAATTACTAAATAGTTCTTTAGGACAACTTGGACGAGCCTGGGATCGAGCAATATCAGCAGCTAATGCATACTCCTGTATTTCAAAGGTAATTGTTGGACCTTGTGGTGTCCTTGCAACACGCAAATGGGGAACGCTCTTCGGATTTGATATCATGAGAAAATGAGTGACACCCATAGGCCCAGCAACATTCAAGAAGTCTTTGAGTTTATTCCTTTTCTTCTCCTGTCACTCAAAAAATAATCTTTTAATCTACTGAAAGAAGTTGAAAATTCAAATTACATCAAAGTCGGGTCACAATAAAGTACAAAACAGAGCCTTATATTCCTTAGTAATTTTCAGAAGACCTGAAAGTCCCTTGCTACAATCCTTAAGGTGCATCTTCTTGCTCCTTGTACAAATTTACCAAAAAGAAACACAATGCAGACACACTGACATGCATACATTTGAAATTCAAGTCAGACCTCCAAATATTGAGCAGTTCCTTCAGTTATCTTAGAAAAATTCCAAATTGAATATTCTTTAGCTAGCGTTGCATAGATTCGAGTCAACAATGATGCAACAAATCACAATAAAACACAAGGCAAACTAATTCCACCGAGTACTGACTGGTTAGTCTATATACACGTTTTATTATTGCAGCATCTAAAATAATATCCTGTAATATTTATTACCTGATCCTAGCTCAGTAATAATAATGAGAAAAACAAGTACGAACGAAAAATTGACGCTCTATTAGACATATAGTGTTCAATACTCATCGCTTGGATTCCTCTCGTAAAATTTGCCATAATAATTTTCTCTAATCTAAATCATCATGATCTTATATTTTTGTTATTTAATCTTTTTGACATAAAAAACCATATAAAACCAACTTCCGGACTAAGGGGATGAATCCAATAACCTTTAGTTTTAAAGCGGTATGCGGGAGCATAAGCTTCCGGAGATCCAATTCCAAATCCCTAAGAGGACCCGGTAGTTTCCCCCTCGAGAAAACGAAACTTTTCGGGATCTTTTGGCCGGTAATATGATCCACGCTCGGCTGATTCTTCACCGGTCTCGCAAGTGCCTTCTTGTTCTTCTGCAACAAATCAAATAAAATCCAAAATTCGCAAAAGAAAAACAAATAGAACAGAGATGAGATAGGCGATCAATTACTCACGTTCTTAAATCGGGCCATTCCTTCAGTAGTGCTCAGAACGGAGACGGTGAAAAAGGGTGATGGTGGCGTGGGGCTCGAATAAAAAAGGAAGGGGTGCTAGTGGCGCCTGCCGGGAAGAGGAGGAGGAGGGAGTGGCAGAGGGGGCGGAGGAAAAGAGGAGGCGGAGGAGAGGGAGAGAGAAGGGGAGGGGACGGGGGAGGTGAAAGGGAAGAGTAAACAGTGAGGAGGAGGCAAGGAGAGGGTAGAAGACGCGGAAAGGGAGCTTAAAAGATGCCCTAAGGGTTTCATTGAGGGCTATTTATTAACGAAAAGCGAAAAAGGCTTCTAATGTTTTTTTTTTTTTGGATAGTGTCTCGTTTTTTTTTTTTACATAAGAGATTTTTTTTTATTTGGATGAAAATATCTTTAACAAGAAAAAATATTTTTAAAATTTTTAAAAATATATCTCTAAAATCCTTCAAAAATAAAAAATATAAATGAATATCGTAATCATATATTAATATGCATATATAAATTTAAAATATTTTAGAGAAGAAAACAGAGAAAGAGATTAATACAAAGATGACGGAAGAGTTAGGGATTTGACATATTCGTTAACTCGAAGTGGTTCAAAAAATTTATTAAGATAAAATTAGTATTTATAAAAATGATTATTATGAGCTTTATTCGATAAATTATTTAATTTTTCCCAACACTAATTTATCCTAAACTAGTTCTAAAATTTCTAATTCCTAATTGGATCTCTTAATTGTCTTAATTTAGTTCTAAAATACCCAATCGTCCTTTCTATTTTTTTTTTGTATCATTGGGTTAGATGATTGGAAATACTAATTAAGGTCACATCAATAGTAGACTAAATTGACTATAATAATTACGAGTGTCGTGTTTTATTTGATCGTGAGATAGATTGCTATAAGAATTTAAATGCTAAATTTATAGTTGGAGGATTAGTCTAACATGAAAGGTAGTTTGATGATAGACTCAAATTTCACTTGTAGTTTTAAAGATATTCAAATAATTTGGCATATCACTGTTGATATAACAACCTTTAGTTTTAAGTCTAATATATCCTAGTTTTATATATAATTTTTCATTGAACATTCTAATATCACTATAAATACTTTTAATATCAATAAGGTTGTTAAAAACTTGCAATAAGACGTGCTAGAAGATTAGTGGGTCTTATGCAATTGCAAATGATAAACTATTAGAAGATATAATTATATCTTTGTTCAGATATCGTACTGATTAGTATATTGTTGAATAATTGATAAATATCATGTTCGAATTCATATGATAGTATTTTATATGCTTATTAATATAATGAGTGTACTATTTCAGTATATTTTATTCCCACAAATATATTTTTTAATTGTTTTACTGTAGCAATGATAGCTATGACATATCCATTACTTTATGATCCTTAACCCTTATTATTATTATTATTATTATTATTATTATTATTATTATTATTATTATTATTATTATTTTATGATTAGAACTTCAATGTAATAGTTTTCTAAATTTCTATATTTAAATAAATAATTCCAATTTAGCGTGGCTACATAAAATCTGAGAACTCACCTCAAATTCATAAGAATTGAAGTGTCCCTTATGATTTAACATGTCATCATCCTCATTAAATGAAATTAATCTAAAATCCACTCAATACGCATTCTACCAAAAAAAATAAAAATAAAAAAAATAGACTCGAAATAGGAGAATTTTGGATGCCTAATGACAGACAGAGTATATCTAAAGGAGAATAAATAAAGATATAAATATTTTTTTTCCAGAGAAGTTAAGAGAATACATAGACATATTATATATATTCCTTAACCGGGATAGATCAAGGACCGAATTGGTGAACATATATTGACACAGAACAACAAAACAAGAAAAATAACCACATTGAACATGACATGATAATAACCAAAGAGTCCATCAACAAGTCTACAAAATAATAAAAAAAATGATATCTACAAAGGTGAAATAATCAATTATTAAATATGAAGCTTACTAAAAATAATTCCAAGGGAATCGAGCAGCGATACACAATCAGATGGCTGGAATATTTCGGTATGACATGAAAGTTTGGAATCATAACCTCATTATTTACAAGAAGTATCTTTGATATTTAGCATACAACAACAACTTCAATTTGTACTTTGTAGAAACTCTTAACAATAGTCTATTTCATAACCTAATAATCAACAAACTTACTTATTCAGCACTAATCACTCGAATCCAAGTGATATTTTAAAAAAAATTCTGGAAACACATATTCCATCAACCAATCAAAGAAATTGATTCATATGACAAAGTACAACTAAGATTATCTGCAGAAGATTCTAACACATGCTAGTATCTGTGTTGATATATAGTCAACAATAAGAACAAGATATTTCAGGTCTTGACAAATTATCAGCACTTAAAAGGAGAAATTGGTCACACAGTAGAAGTCCACTTCACAATATTAATGCACCATCCACAACAGATAAATTATCAGCACTTAAAAGCCAAAAATTACTTCCTCTCGTATACCAAACAGACAAGTGAATCAATCGAAAATATTGAACCCAGTCCCACAAATTAAAGGCACCTAAATATCCCAGTTTATACGCCCCAAGATGAACTTCCAATAGGTTAAGGATACATCTTAATATTATGAACAGTGTAACCTAGAATATGAACTCCTCTAATCACATAAATATGATCAGCCAGTTTCTGAAGGACTTTATCAATGACAATCTTCAATCGCTGCAGCTGAAGTTAGCAGCCATGAATACTGAAGTCAATTAACACAACCAGTCAGTTGCGCAAGACAATCAATCACCCATAACTCTGGTGACACAAACCAAACAATATTACATGCCTGGAGAAGTCTCTACCTTCCAAGTGATTAGAATGAGTAATGAATAAATGATGAGCGCATATAATCACCACAGAGTGGAAATTTAGTTGATTTGAAAATTGTTATAGACTGTTGAAGCAATAAAGCATGACACAGCTAGAAAACAGTAAAGATCAAGAGTCAAATCATATAGATGCTATAACCTGATCAAAACTATAGAAAAAAGGAACTATGACTTAAATGTGGGTCTAGACATGTATCTCGGAGTCATTTATCATGGCTACAAGGAAAGAAAAAGGGAAAGCAGATTCAAAAGTTCTTTATCCAGAAAATTCTTATAATCTGAAGAAGGCATGCATGGACATGAAATTATCCTCTTAAAAAATGCTAGTTCCACCCATCCATTTTCTTCCTGATCAAGGTTTAATGCTTTTACAAAATCTTAACACATAAAAGTTTACTCTTCATTTATCTCATGACAACAAATAATTACAACTTATAAGGTGCTATAATCATCCAAGCAGAAATATTATCAACTAGCCACCACAATAATATAGACATCTGATGTTATTCAGCTGATTAACATGATGCATTATTTTTGTTCTTAGATTTGAATGTTTATATATTTTTATTCTTAGGCTTGAATATTCTTAGCAAACATGCAGACAAAATAATAACTATCTTTCCCTGCTATTCATAGAACATGAACCCAATGAGCTACCTGTAAATTTTAAGCAAAATATTTGCTAGTTGCCAAGTGCCCCATTGCAAAGCCATTATTTATAGGAGGGTAGTCAAAGTCGTTTACATATAATGTTGAAAATTTTGGAAGCAATACCCATGATAGTCACTGCCAGCATCAAAGTCTCTGGTTGCTACCTCAAGGAAAAATTCCCATAAATGAATATTGAGCACAACGTCTACTAAAAATACTCTGACAATATACCAAGTACATCCTGAAAAATGCAACAGAAACAGCATCATCAGCTGGCAAATCTTCCTCAATTCTTGCTTCAATGAAACATTCTGTCAATTCCTTATCAAATGTTTTTCATGCATTTTTCATTATAATCTCCATCCCTCTCTGGCCTCATCATCAAATCAGTCTTTCCATGAAACACACCATCACAAGGAAAACCATGAATCACAGAAGGCACTGCCATGGAACACACCATCACAAGGAAACCCTTGAATCATAGAACACACTGCATGATGTCATTGCTCTGTCCAGCCAATTGAGAAGCACAGTTGTGGCAACATAGTGCGTAAGCGCCCCAACAAGCACAAGAACATGGAATATCTGATGGCTATGTCCGATGAGATCAAACTCCCCTGGTCGCCACTTCTCAGGAATCCTGCTAACATACACGCCTGCTCCTGAGGCATATGCTATGGCCATTGCTACCTCCAATCCCAACACCAAATGGGCTTCAGGATGCTCCCAGTTTAACCACATTGCATGGACGGCTGGTACAACCCCAAAGAAGCCCATGGCGAGGAAGAGCATGGCACGAAAGGAGCGATAGCGTGAGGAGGAGAGGGCAGGCGCAAGAAGAGTGAGGATTGTGAGGAGGCCAAGCATGGCAATGGCGGAAAGGTAGGTGAGGCGGGCAATAGGATGGCAGAGAAAGGAATAGTAGATGGGAGGAACAAAGGATGAGACAATCATGAGGGAGATGCCCACATAGTCAAGCCTCCAAAAGAAGAGGTTGAGGTTGTGAGAGTGGCAAGCAAGGAGGTGGGAAATGGCACTGACGACAAGGCAGCCCATGCATCCGAGTAAAAATACTAGTCTTGGCCATCTCGGTATGGCTTGATCAACTGAGAAGGTTGTTCCCAGCCATGATGATTGCAGAGCTGAAGACTCCTAGTGAAAACAGAGGCATCAGAACAAGTATTACATGATTGTTACTACAGAGATCAAAGCCTAATGCGAACCAGAAGGTCTTGAATTTGATAATGATGATTCACAATGCTCGATTGGACATTAAGCTTTGACAAAAGTTAGTGTGATCCAGAAGATTCCTGGTTATTTGTATGTGATTAAGCAAAGGAGATGATTCCTGGTTTTTTTTTTTTTTTGGCAACATATTGTGTTAATTTCCACCAGCTAGAAGTATCATCCTAACCGAGCAAAGGAGTACTACAAAGCAAAAAATGAATGGAGATAGTTAACTGCAGAAAGAAAAGGAACCCAGCTGATAAAGAGCTCATGTGAAATAGTGAGTTCTTCGAATGAGTTATCTAAAACTTGGAAAACAATGCAAGCAAGCAAGAAGCATACATAACTGATGATCATGAAATACTTTCCATATACGTGTATATACTACTTACCAGCAAAGCATTCCCTGACCAACTGTTCTCTGTGGCATTCGAAGATCTAACCATCGAACTGGAAGCAAATAGATTAAGAAAAAAGAAACAATAAAGCAACCATTGATTTAAAACATAATAATATATTGAGAAATTACAGAAATGCCGACGCTGAGAGCCCGGGGACGACCGCGCCAGTGACCTCATCGATCACCGCCATCGACTCCGCCACCATCAAAACCAAGAAGAGGAAGAATCCTCCCAAATGCCTAACACAGGAAGGAAGACAACAACAACGAATCATCAAATGTATGATCCCCATCCGACGTCCCCGATCAAAGCTCGAAATTCATTCACTGGACGGGTATGGGTGTTCATACTTACGTCCACACGTTGAGCGTCTCGTTGTGCCAAGCGAAGGCGCTGAGGAGGGCGTCGCGAATCGGCCACTCCGAGCGGTAGTGGTCCAGTATGAACTCGTTGTCCTTGAGGTACTCCGGCAGCTCCTCGTACCGCAACAGCCGGAGACGACGGCCGGGCCTCTTCCCCTGCACCGCCGGCGAATCTCCGGCTCTCCTAACCGTCCATCGCCGTCCCCGGTTCAACGCCGACGCCTCCATCTCCTCCCCCTTCGACCGACCAAGATCCCAAGAACCGATCGGTTCGTTTTCCCCCTCCCTCTCTCTATGCTCCTTGTGGAAGCACACTGGGAGTTCGAGATGTGCTTTGGGAAAGTGCGATGCATTCGAGGAAGCGATTGCGTACTACTTTGTCCATGTGGGGCGAGTCTGCAGTGTCGTCCGATAATAATGACAGTAAGACAGCGGGTAGGTTCAAACGGTAGGAGACATCTTTTTTGTTTCATGGAAATATACATGACGTCTCTAGATACGTGGCGGTCACAGTGGTGATGTGGTCCCAATTGTCAATTGTCAACACTGTCTATCATGTGGCACGACTTTTGATGAATTGAGATCATTATAGAAATTTATAAAAATTAAGACACTATGTGAAAATTTCTCAAATATAGAAACAAAAATTTATACTTTCACTTTTGTATTATTAAAAATAAAAAAAAAAATTAATGATTATGTTCACATGACATTGATACGTTTTAGCTTGTAAAGCTACTATCAAACCAAGAGTACAGCACCAAACCTTTGGCTCTGACGTAAAAATGACAAACTACTGATTTTGAAATCTCACCAACCCTTTAGATATTTTAAATTTGACTCGGTTGTCTTTTTTCTTTTTTTTTATCCCATATTTAAATTTGACTCGATTTTTTTTCTGAAGTTCATATGACTCGATGTTTTTCTGAAGTTCATATGCCGAAAGGATAAAATCGTACGGATACGTTTATCGTTTAAAACGGATAATTTCTTACGAGTCTACGGATTATTAAACTTTGTCTTTATTAGCAATATGAAAGCATATGAACAGAAAATCAATATATATTTATGAAATAAAAAATATATGAACAGAAAATCAATTTACGCCTCTCTGGAGCATCTCATTGTACAGAAGCAATGAGATCTGGCGCTGCATCTTCATCTGTTGGTAAAACTTTGCTATGAACTGTTCCGCCTTTCTGTCGATCTCATCTTCTTCCTCCATCTCCGCATGATCCTCGCATTCCAGTACCGCATTGTCGTCGTCGTCATCATCCTCGCAGCCGATCTCGCTCGCCGCTTTCGTCTCATGCTTATCCGGTAAGTAAGCATTCCTGTCAAGCTTGGCGAAGATGAGATCGTCGTCGTCCGTATCCAAGTCCGCGTCAGGATTGATGCAGGGGATGCGGAGAAGCCGCATGGAAGGCGTCTTGAAGTGGAAAGCTGGTGTCTCCTCGACGGAGAACTCGCGCTCTCCGAAGTGGAGCCTGTCGGAGCGGCGGCCACCGGGTTTAAGGCTCTTGAGGTAGCCGGGGACGACGCGGAGGCCAAGGAATATGCCACGCTTGAACACGCCGCCCTTGCGCACCCACAGAAGAGCCAAGCGCAACTGCCTCCATGCGCGGCCGGGCAACGCCGCCACTTTCTTCTTAGCCATGGCCTTACAATAGTTTCCGTAGTACGTGTCCTTGAGGAGAAGAAGAAGAAGAGAAGAGCAACGGAAGAGAGTTGAAGGTAGAGATGATTGAGTTTCTTTCCGTCGAAGAGTAGGATGGTGGGCGGTGGTGCTTTATAGGGACGTCGATCTATGTAGACGCTGTTGCTTGAGAATTCTAGAAGTGAGAGAAATGGAGTGGGATGCTTCCTTTATTACATCATACACGGTTTGATTTGTTGTCAATGCGGTAGAAGTTGTCGTAATAATCGGACAAATATAATGTAATATGTAATCATTATTGTGCTACGAAAGTGCCTGGTTGGACCCAAAACCGCGTTGGAATTACTTGGAAGTATACTATGAGTTTTGGGACCCACGATCTGTGAGTTGCGATACAATTTCCCCTGACATAAGCCCCACCTTCATTGGATTCTCGACTGCCCCCAAATGCGTCCTCTTATTATTTTGTGGAATATATATATATATATATAAAAGAAAAGTTGGAGCAAATCCGAGGGTCGATGTGGCAGTACCATCATCCAGAGGGAATTAGAATCTCCAGACGTGGCACTATCATAGTCATATTGTTTACATGATATTATTATATTCTGTCATGCAACTGCTGGTATAGACCCCAAGACAGGGAACAGAGCCACACATCCAATGGAGGGAGGGCGATGGATCAGCTACTGTTCGCATATAAGGAGATCAAATTGCGTGGTTACAAGCCTCTCAAAAGGCCGCCTTAATAAAGACATGATTCGGGGTTCTGAAGCCCCACGGCCACCCCCTTCACGTTGGAGCAAGAGGAGGTTATGTTAGAAGTGGCTGTGTTGTTCTCCATGATGAGGCTGATGTCCTGGAGGTGCACGTTCTCGCAAGCCATGGTTTCGCTGCACATCAGTTTGACCGCTACGGGATCGTTCGAGGTCCCTTGAATTCTCCTGAACGTCACGTTCTGGATCTTCACCCGAGACGGCTGCATCGCCCGGAGCAGGACCACTCTTCAACGTTCGTGCGCAAACACAGAGCAGCAGGTCGAGAAGAATGGGTTGGGACTTACCGAAACGACGCAGTCGTGGTCGGGGCAGTAGTGTTGATCGATGATGATGGGGTTGGAGACGTTGTGCATGATGATATCCTCGAACGTGAAGTTTGAGGCCTGGCTCGGCGGCGATCCCGGCCACGTCTTGATCCGAACTCCGTTGGTCGTCCCCGACACCGTGCAGTTCCGGACGCTCACCCCGGACACGTCCTCCTCGTTCATGTACTTGCCCAGACTCCCCACGCTGCACGACAGCACCGGTCACTGCCGGTGGGACTTGCCGCTGGGGCGACGGCGAAAGGTGTTTGACGAATTGCCTTACCTGATGCCATGGCCGGGGCCGCAAGTGACATCCGATATCTGCAGATTGTTCACGCCTTGGCCTATGGAGATACAGTCGTCGCCAGTGCCGATGTTGAGGCTGGTGAGCATGACGTTGTCGGATCTGCTGATGTGGATGCCGTCGGTGTTGGGGCTGTCGGCGGGCGCCGATATCCGGAGGCGACTGATGGTGACGGACGAGCTCTGCTGCAGGCCGATGTGGAAGCCCTTGCTATTCATGAAAGTAAGGTTAGAGATCGTTGCGTTGCTCACCCTCAACAACCTCATGGACTGCACGCAGGTGAAAGGGATTGCTTCAGCGTGCGATCCAAGATTCATAGCAACATGAGAACGCACGCTCGTGAGACTCGACATACGATAGGAAGGCTTTTGCAGCTTCTTTTGGGAGGGCAGTTGGTCTTATTCCAAGACGCAGCTCCCTGGCCATCCAGGGTTCCGCCGCCACCGATCTCCAACCCATTGAGATGCTTGAACTCGAACCACCCGGGATTGTAGTAGTCGTTCATGCTGGGAACAGCCTTCACCGTCCCAAGAATTTGAACCTTGGGTGTGACTCTGCATGGGCCTTCGAAGGTCGCCGGACCGGCCAAGAAGGTCCTCTTCGGGATCACAAAGATGGCCGGTGCACGATGCTCGCATGCCGAGTCCCAAGCATCGACCAAGGCCTGCAGTGTACGAGGAGAATGTCTGTCCACACCAATGTCGAACGAAATGTTACACCACAACCCAAACAAAAGCTACCTGACCGTCATCGGTTTCACCATCACCCATTGCCTCGAAATCCATGGGGTCGAAAATTTCCTGCTCTAAACTGGGATTCGCCATGCAGAGGACGAGAACAGTGAAGCAAAACAAGTCTAAGACCATCTTTGAAGCCATGGCTGGCTGGGTATCATGCCCTTGATTCGAGCCCTTCCTTTTATTCCAACTTGATCTCCTCAAGCGAGGAGAAGAACAATGAAAAATGATACGAAAATAGTGATTTTGGCCTGCTTATATAACTCGAGTAAATGCTTTTTCTTGTAATAGTGAGTCATCATAGGGTTTTCCATCTATTTTAGCCTCAAACAGTCAAATCTTTAGTGAAAGCTCATTTCACGGCCTCACGTATAAAGGTTATTGCAAATATAGTTCTCTTCTTTCCACCGACCATTTCCAATATGAATCTTATCTTTTACTTGGTCAATCAAAATCGTTTACCCTTCATCAGATGACCTGTAGTCATGCATAAGGTCCAAACACCATGCAAGCTAAGCTTACTTCTCGACAAACATGCACTTCCTGCTCTCCAAAGTGCACAATAAGAAAAGAAAAACTATTAAATAAGATTAATTATATGCATTTACCAGAAGCTAAAATGGTCTTTACATATCATAAAAGTAGTATTTATTTATTACACTTCATTTGAGCATTCTCTGAAGAGCGGTACACTGCTTTTAGCACACCATACATGCTGATCACTTCCTCGCTGAAGCTACCTACCTATACTGGAGCTCCTCCATCTTTCTTAGGTACGTACCGTAAGTATCTTATACAGTAGAGAGACATAGGAACTACATTAGGGAGACGTAGGACCTATGGCAGAAAGGACGAGCTCAGATACACCGAACGTTCAGTTAAAACCTACCATGGTTTCGCCAGGGAACCCTGCGGGTGACAATTAGAACTCCATCAAATTCCTTAGGATCTCTGACGTTGTGCAGCACGTTCTTTGGGGGAGCGTAGTTGTAGTACTGGTGTGTGTTGCTACGCGGTGGTGGTGGTGGTGGTCCTCTCCTGCGCAGGTACTCCTCGAGCAAGCCGAATGCTTCTCTTCCCACCTTGTTGAGGTCAGTCTGATGAGCCATGATGAGGGAGTGTCAGGTTAATGTGTTGGGTCGCTGAGGAGCCTTCATGGTGGCACCCTCCCTTTATATAGAGGATGATGCCTTGTTTGGCCATAGTTCCTGATATATTTTGAGGGCTGGTGGATGAGTGGGAACATGGACAACACATACTGGAATCTAATACTCCTTCTCAACCTCCGAAAAGATGATGAGACAAGTGACATTTCCTTGGGTAAGAAGGAACAAGGGAAGATGATGAAGCTTGTTTGGGATCATGAATGTTTGTTGTGACAAGTAGGTCGGAGGGGGTAGGCAATACGCATAAAGTGTAAGGGGTAGGAAAGCTACGTTGGCCTGTTTGAGCACAGCTTGAAGCATCGAGAAGCCACGCTTTGGCATCCGAATGAAATCCATTATCATATTGTCGGATCAATCTGCATGCTGTTTCATGCAGATATCATCCTAGGATTTGTGTCCGTGGCAATCAACACGTTACAGTATTGAATTCTTCAAAGAAACATAAATGAAAGGTATATATATATATATATATACACATAGTGATGAGGCAATGAGTCACGAGCATAGCTTAAAGAATGACAAGCAGCATCAACATGTCGTTATATGATCTAACGAAATGGTAAGATCTACCAATGGATTGACCAAATGATATGGTCCTTAGTAAAGATTAAGGATCTACCTTTTTCTTTTACTGATCAATGATTACAAAATCACCCGGATCAAGGATGTAGATTGGATCATCATTATGGGTGCAACTTGTGCAGAATTATTGGAATTACCTATCATGAGTGTAAAAGGTTGAGATAGTTAAAATAATGATAGATCAAATTTGATTATTAATTCAACTATTATTATGTCCCAAAGAAGAGGATAATCTTTTCGAGGGCAAAAAAACATACTTGTAACTTATATTCTTACCTTATTTTAGTTTGAGAACGAAAGATGTCTATCTCTTATATCTTATTTCTTACAAATATTATGTTAAACTAGTAAAACCTTTTTTGACGATCAAGTTTTATTCACTTTAGACATAAAAAAACATATAAAGAGTTCAATATTTGTTTGATTTATCTATCTATATACTATTGTGATCACTATGAGAATATATCCTTTAAATACTTTACTCACGTGACATCCAATAATATCTTTGTTATAGCAAGTATTTGTTGTGATATATTCTGATTCGATATGTTAAGCCTTGATTAAATAAAAATAATAGTCATGCAAATAATTTTTTTAATTAAATTATATATAATAAAATTTCGAACCATCAATTTAGAGTGAGTGAACCGCTAATATTTTAGATATAAAAAATTTATAACATACGATTTCAAACCCTCACAAGTTTTAAGCACTTGATATATTAGTTGTGATAAAAAGAAAAAAATGGTTACTTGTCCTTTTCTTACAAAGGACAAGAGATGGAAGAGAATAATAGTAAAAGGAACAAAAGCTCCTTTATGCTTTTTTAGATGATGGATAGGGTGTAGCCTTTTGTCCAACACATTTCGACTCACCAACAACAACAATTGGCATCAAAGATTGTATTGATACACTTTTGTTTTTTCTAACAAAAAAAAAGATCAAAATTTATTCACTGAAATAAATTTATCTATACTCAATTTTCAACATATTATCTAATCCGAAGGTAGTTCAGAAAACTCTTACCACAGAACGGTACCGTAAAGTGCTTTGCATGGTTTGACAATGCTTATTCATCGATGTGTAGGTCGGATGGAAACCTTTTTGCTATTTTGTTAATCGATTAGTATAATCTTCTACTGTACTTTAAGGAGAATCAAATATGAAAAGTTAGGAAGTGATGGAAGCAAGCAAATCTGTTTTTTTTTTTTTCTATTTGATTTTTCTCATATTCGGGTGAATTTAGCTTTCCTTCGATCAACATAGAGCTAAACACTATGTTGATTTGTAGGGTAATCGATTTCATTAGAATTATTGGATCAACCTAAGTCAATGTTGAATCGGGTCAATGATTCGACGATGTCAAATATTTTTGATTCAGTTCCAAAGCGATTGAAAAAGAAGAAGGAAAAAAAATTAATGGTATTTTTAAACTTGAAATTTAATAACTTATGTTTGAATTTTGATAAAATAATTTTTAATTTTTTTCATCAGAATAGGTGATTCAAATTAGAACTAAATATGTTGGGTGGAAAAGATATTTACAGTGTGATATGGTTCTTTTTCTAGAGTCTCATGACTTTGACTCAAGTTAATGTGAAGTAGTAACTTTCTATATTCTTGTGATACCTTCCTTCCTAATCTATTCTGACAAGGACATGAAGATGTGTTCTAGATAATCTTTTTTTTTTACGAGGAGAATGAATCTTCTCGAAATAATTAGGATAAAGGGAACATTTCCTTCCTTTACAAGGAAGAAGTCATGATTGAGAATAGTTCTACAGGAAAGAGATATGAGTTGAAATTTGAAGGCAAAATCCAATGGGGTTAGGCATCTTTGAACTAAACTTTTGATTACTTGTAAACATACCCCTCTTTCCAAATCAAAATGTATCAGTGTTTTCAGATCCAATCCATGAGAATAACTTTTAACTTTCTGTGCATAATATTATTGCTGCAAGTAGGAGTAAATTACAGATGGGAGAACATGCATCTATCTATCTCTCTTCATGAAGCATTAGAAAACAAGGCTGCTGCTGCTTGTCTCATTGAATACCCTTAAAGAAACAATGGAGGCTTCCATAGAGCACATTGCTTGCCTGGAATCTCTATCTTGAGAAATCCAAAGCTATCAGTATCTCTCAAATGAAGATGACTCTAAATGCAACACTCCCATGATAGGTGGAGATATAATTTGCATTTTATTGATAGCAAGGAATATTGCTATCTTTAGAGAAGATACCAAAAGCCAAGCCACCATTTGAAAAGAAAATTCTACATGATTAAGGAAGAGAAACAATGGCATCAAAAGGAAAATTTCATTAGAGAATCTCTCAGATATAGTGGCAAAGAGATGTATAATCACAAGATTTGGTAGTCATCAACAGCCTATTGTTAATCACTTATCTTCTAATAATAATAATCCATTGTGTAGCATTTTAATAGCAAAACGAAGCAATGAGGATGATATTGGAACAACAAAATTCTTTTGGCACTTCTATTTGGGTAGCTATTTTCCTAAACCATTTATTAATATTATTTTTTTGAAATATAATATAAATTAAATGTCTAAAAAGTGTGTTTAGAGGGATTGGAAGTAGAAAAGTATTGCAGAGGGAGAAAATAGAAAAATAAAAAATATTAATAATGATAAATATACTAAAAAATCGATATAACATTAATATAATTTGATAATTCTCATCTATATTTATATAAAAAAATTAAATTCTTATTATGAGAGATTAATTACAAGAGCCCTAAATTATCCTCGTTCAAGTATAATCAATCCTCTTATATATCCTCTCAAAAGAATATATATACATATATATATATATATACATATATATATATATACATATATATATATATACATATATATATATATATATACATATATATATATATACATATATATATATATACATACATACATATATATATATATAC